CTCCAGGGTCCTCTCTCCCACTCTGAGCCCCCAGCCTTCCCTCCACCCTCGCCCCGCCCTCCCCTCCCAGCCTCTCCCCCTTCCTTCTCCGCTCTCTCGCTCTCTGTGATTTATTACTTGCCCTGCTGCTTCTGACAAACTATTTGTAGGAAAATGAGATTTGGTCCGCGCTGGATGGTTCCTCTGGGAGGCAGGCGTGGGGGTCGGGTGTCGGAGCCCCTGTGTGGCGCCCCCGCCGGAGCCCCACGGCGCTTACGGAGCTCTTTAAGATAAATGAGCAAAATTAAGAGACTCACTGGGGGAAGAAAACCCTGGCTGGCAGCGAGTGAGAGCGGATGGTACACAGTTTCCTCCCAAAAAGGCATCCGCGTGCTCCCTACTGGGGCCTCCCCCGGCCGCTGCGGTCTCCAGGGAACTCCTCCCCAGGAGAACTTCCAGCCCCCTGGGCAGGAGCGGTTCTGTTCCCAGGATGTGGCACCGACAAGGTCTGAGACCTCTAGTAAGGTGCACAGACTGGGGACCTCAGTGGGGCAACAGCTCTGGGGTGGCATGGAAGAAACCTGACCGTAGAGAAGGGACAGAGAGCTCGTCTGGGGTGTTAATGGCTGTGCGGGACAGCCCCAAGCCACTGAGACACAAGATAACTTAGCCACACCCAGTCCCTTTTGGAGTATAGTTCACGTCCTCCTGTTGAGGGGACGGGAGGTTAGGCTGTCTCCAGCCTCAGGCTCCAGAGTGTAGAAGCCTTGGAGGCTCGGGGCAGTTCTGAGCTCTGAAGCCTCTCTTCAAAGTCAGGGATTTAACTCGTCTGTTTATTGGGGAACACAACGGGTGTGGCTCTGTTTGGATTTCCTGCAGTGCCTGTGGGCTAGCTCACCTTAGGCGTTAAATATTATCAGTGAAGTAAGTGCGTGAACAGGACAGTGTCTTGGAAGCTCAGGGCTGTGTTTTCAGCTCCAGTGGAATGTGCAACAGAACCAGGTTTTCAAGTTCCCTTTCTTTCCTTTTAATTTTAAAAGAAGTAAACTTTCAAGGCAGGTGAGCTAAGCATACAGGGGGAAATAAAGGGGCTGGTAGTGCGGCTCAGTGGTAGCGTCTTCCTCCCTCCGCATCAGCGTCAGCGTGGAAACAGTCCTTATCCCAATCTCCAACACAGAGGGGAGGAAGAGGAAAGAACCTAAAAGCCACCTGTTATTTCTGCTATTGATAGTTTGATGCTCTTTTTCCAAGTTTGAAATATGTATTAAAAACTAATATGCGATAAACATTTGTGATCTGCTTCTAGCTACTCGTCATTGTTCCACGAGTGCCTTTTTACTCTATTTCATATTCCTCCTAAACATAATTTTAATCACATCTATTTGTTTTATGTTGCATGTGTTTATGTGTGTAAACGTATGTGTGTGTCAGAG